GCAACGTGATGGCGTCTGAAAGTGAGGAGCAGAAGACGACCACATGCACTCAGCTGACTGACCATGTTCATAGGGCCCAGAGGGAGAGGGAGAGCTCCTGGCAGAGAACCACAGATGCTGCGGCTGAGCTTTAGCAAGTTTCAGCTCCTGTCTCCTGCTGATCGCCCGCCGTTAACAAAGTCCCACTACACGTTTGACTTTGCTCAGGGCCTCAGCTTGCCGTATACGGCCAGACAGGTAGAGCCACTTTACTTCCAAGTGCCTCGGAAAGTCCACTTGTTTGGTGTATGTAATCAAGGCATTGGCAAACAGATGAACTACGTTATTGACGAGGCAGAAAACATCAGTCCTGATGGCAAGAAGAGCCACAATCCGAACACTGTAATTTCTTTCTTGCACGACTATTTTTCCACTTTTGTTGCTGATGAGTACATGCAGATAATTGCGCAGGACAAAACAAAAATAAGTCTGTTATAGCTTACCTTGCATGGCGTTGCATTGTCAATTTGCACAGAAGTATAACATTGTCATTATTTATGATAACCAGCCATACGTGATGCCTAGTCAACGGTATGTTTGGCTTGGTAAAGAGAAAATACCGTCGCTCTGACGTGTTCAGCATGCAGCAGTTAGCAGACGTGGTTGACTCCAGCGCTACCTCCAACATCCATCGACGGATCCCTGGCAATGTGACCTGGTTTGAGTGGGATATGTACCTCACCCGGCTCTTCAAAAAAGTCCCCAACATCAACCAGCAGCATCATTTCCGGTTCTCATTCGACGAACCTGAACGTTTGGCACTATAAATTCCATCAAAGTGAAACTTATGCCAACTGCTTAGTGGTGTGTGTATACTATATCCTCCAGCCCTTCCGCTGGTGACTCGAAGGCTTCTGTAAGGCTTTTATGGCCAAATTATTGCAATTTACACATTTAAATGATTATTCGTGAATATGTGGGATGTTCTGGTGAAAATAGTGTTGATTTCAATGTCCGATGGCTGGTACGATCAAATGCCTTCGAGAAATCGAGAAAGACGGCATCACACTGGGCCTGATTATCAAATGCAGAGCTGACAGTTGATGTGACATACACAAATTGGTCAACCATGCTTCGATGGTGGCGAAACCCGAACTGTTTCGGCGACAGTAGTTTGTGTTTCGCTACGAACGTGTACACCTGGCGGCTGATTAACGCTTCGTAGAATTTTGCCACACCATTCAGCAGAGATATCGGCCGGTAGTGCGACTTCCGTTACCCTTGTAAATTGGGGTAACGATTGCAACTTTCCACTCAAGTGGTTGGGATCGGTAAGTGGTGCAGCGGTTAAAGAGAGCAGTGAGGGATTGGGCGAGCACTTCTGCTGTCTCTCGTAGGATCCTGTTGGGAAGACTGGAAGCTGTAGACTTTCGCACACTTAGGGTCGACAGTGCCTTTATTACTTCTACGATAGACAGAGGGCGGATGGCAAATGTTTCCGAAGAAGAAAGCATGGCGAGATCACAACAATCTGCATCCGACCATGGTGTAGCTTGGCTATTCTTGGCGAACTGTTTACAGAAGATGTTCGCTTTCTCAGGGTCGGTAATGGCTAAGGTATCGACTCCTTGGATATCAGGTATAGGGGTGTGAGGACAATTGATGTGGCACATTTTCTTTACTCTCTTCCCCCAAGTCATAAGATCCTCGATCTGCATGAAGGCCTTCTGACATCTGGTCGTATACGGTGACGTTTAGCTTTACGGATGGCAGCGACAAGGCAGTACCTTGAAATGCGATAAGCAGCCCAGCACTCAGGGGTATTGACGCGACTATCGACTATTTGCTGCAGCAAATAGTCGATCTCGACGTTGACGGAGGCGATGGTGCACAGAAGTGAACCAAGGCTTTCCATAGCGATTTGTTCGTTTTCTAACCTTCGGAACAAAGTATGATATGGCTGTGTCAACTAGTGTTCGCCAGGAGACCCATGCTTCATCTGTACTACTGGCTTCTTGTACAGCAGCGAGAAGAGGGAGGCTCCAAAGATGGTTTTTAAGTGCGGGCCAGTCTGTGGCTGCATAGTTGTTTCACGAGCAAATCAGAGTGCACTGGTTGCTGGGAACGAGTCTGTATTGCAAGATCAAATACCACAGAACAGTGATCAGAGACAGGGGGAAGTGTGGTGAGGTTGTGGATGAGGAATGGTTGGTTACAGAGAACAAGGTCCAGGAGAGAAGAGCCCTGACCGGCTGCAGAGAAACGTGTTGGGCGGTTGCATACAAGTTGTTTAAAACCAGTATCATCCAGCAGTTCGACAGAACTGCATCTTCCAGAAGCAGTGTTCGGGTCCTGCCTATACAGGTAGACTCCCTCTAATTCGAATACGGTATAATTCGAACATTCCGTGTAATTCGAACTTTTTCGTCGTACCGATCTTCTGCAAGTCACTTCAAGTCAAAATCGAATGCATAATTCGAAGTACGAAAAGTGCGCCGGTTGGATAATTCGAACCCAGTCTTTGTACAGAAGAGCTGTTTACAGTACATTGGCTATGTCCTTTGAACGCTTATTTCGAATTGAGACTGAGTTGCTATCCTTGTAATTCGAAGTTCATTCTTTTCTCCTTCTCTAGCCAAGAGAAGCTCAAAAATCGATCAATAGTCCGCTGCAGGATCGACTATAGCGTTCAAGAAACCCACCCTCTCTCGAAATTTGATTCAAGCCCGTGCGAGGCAAATTGCAAAGGTTTGATTGAAGACGACTTTTTCCAGGTCGCTGACTCTCTTCGCGGATCTCGATGGCCTTTCTTGCCGCGCCAGCTCGTGCGCGGAGGTGGTGGCGCACAACAACACCATTGTCGTAAATATTGTCGATGCCTATGCTTCACTTCGGTTCTTCAGAACGATGTGCTGCTGTCCGACGGCCTTTCATGACGCGGATTAGGCAGCGCAGTTCTTTTCCGTTGAAATTGTTTCAGGAAAGCTGCAGTGGCTGTTACTTCTTCACTAGAAGATGAAGATAATGTCAAAATGATTTTGTCGATCCAGTGTTTTGATGATCCGTTGTACATGACCGGTACGACCACCTATGTTTCGTTGATGCAAATAAAAATGTGCAAAACATATTCAGCATACGATTTCAAGCATTTTGACATACATATCAGTGCATGGGGCTGCATTTGGATAATTAGAAGTTCTGGATAATTCGAAGTTAGGGCCTGGCAATTTGAGGTTCGAATTAAAGGGAGTCTACCTGTACCATTCGTTGTGCCGAGCATTAAAGTCACCGAGGATGATAACGGAAGCTGTAGTGTCCTGCCTTGGTGGCCGATAACAGCAGAAAATATAGACATCTTTGTGGCCATTTTTAAGTTGAATGCATAGGATTTCAAGGTAGGTGTTGGCAGGCTCGAGGTCTGTTCGTCTGTCGTAGGCGAGTCCTGGTCGGGGTAAGAAAGCAACGCCACCGTCACGCAGAGCGACATGAGATGGGCGGTCTCTTCGCACTATGTGAAAAGCAGCAGTTGGCAATAATACAGAGTTAGGAATTTTCTGAGTTAGCCAGGTTTCGGTGATGCCTAATATGTCCACGTCTGAAGCACGAAATATTATGTTATTAATTTCATCGGCCTTTGGGTACCAGCTGCAAGCATTGGTTGTGGCATATGATGGGGATGTTTGTTAGGTATGAATGCTGAGGTATTGTATGGTGATGGGACAGTGAAGGTAGGTGCATCTGGGTTCAGTTGCCCTGACACACTGTTAGATGATGGTGTCGATGTGGTCCTAGTGGGAAAAAAGATGGGTGCGTGTGGATTCAGCATCACAGTTTATGATTTCTTGGGGAGGGGTGGGTTCTTGAACTTCCATTCTCGTGCTGTTACATGCTCGGGCCAGAAATCGTTTTCCAGACCAATTCTTTCGTCATGCTCAGCAACTGTCAGATGTGCGTGCAACGTTCCATACACTGTTCTGGAGGGGATCAGTCTACAGCCAGTAACGTCCACATTCTTCTTTCTACAGTACGCAACAAGATCAACAGCACTGCAGTTGATATTGATGCCCCGCACGAATACAACTCTACGTGTTATTTTCTTACCTCCACGCAGATCTGCGGGCTTCTTGTGGCGGTTGGCGGCTTCACGTACAATCGACCAGTTGTACTTGGTGCTGACAGGCTTGTCAGTAGTACAACTGGCGTTGCTTGTTCGTGGTGTAGAGAGGGTACGACTAGCGTACGTCTCGCCCAGAGCTGCGGATTCAAGCCCTGTTGGTGCAGATGCGGGTACTGGTACACCCGTGGCGGGAATGTTTGTAGCTGCTCGGTACGAGTACTCATCCTGGTGGCTGTCAAGGGCGCGATTAGAGACATCGATGGGCTGGTGGTGTTGTGTCAGGGCGCGAAGCTTCTCATTGAGTTCTGCAATGGCGGCATCTTTTCCTTTATCGTTTTCGAGAGAGATTTTTCGTAGGTCGGAAACTTCTGCTACCAGGTTTCAGACCGTCTCCATCAGGTCAACCATCATCTTTGCTAGTGCAGTAGCATCAGTACAGGTACATTCATATCCGCCTGCCTGCTTTGTGACCCTGTGTGTGTCGATCTGATCGTCCAGTGGTTGCATCTATCCCGTCAGGGCGCCTTCCAATTGCACCCGGCTCAGGCCGGCCCATTTGACGTTATTGGCCTTTGCCAATGACTCCAAGCCTTCACTATCCAAAATTCCGAAGTCAATGGCCATGCTCTCGGTTGGGGGAGCAAGACGTCAGACGTAAAAAAACTCGCAACCACACTCATCAACTAGAAGAAAAAATCATGATCACGTGTTCGCGGCGTCTGGATTGCAAAAAGACTGAGCATGAGTTGCGTAAGATTTTTTTTCATTTTGCCGCTTCGATATTGGAGATTTTCTTGGGAAACTCGGTGGGAATTATTGTTTGTACTACTGCTTGATTATTATTTAACTTGCATCATGCCAAGCAATATTCACTGTTGTCTTCATTCTGTGCACAGCTGTGCAATGCAATGTAACGGCTATTGCTAATGGTACTTCTGACAGGGCAGTCATAAACTTTGGAGAAACCGTTACCTATTCTTGTGCAGCGGATCAAGGGATTGTGGGCGATGCCACACCAACTTGCCAGGCTGACAGACAACTATCCTCCATTCCTTACTGTGTGCAATGCCATGTCCCTGCTATAGTCAACGGTACTTCTGACAAGGCGGTCATAAAATATGGAGAAAGTGTTACCTATTCTTGCGGGGATGAAGGGATTGTGGGTGATGCCACGCCAAGGTGCCAGGCTGACAGACAACTATCCTCCATTCCTTACTGTACCTGTGAGTGCAGATACATACTTTGTGATTTGTATACACGTTATTATTCAAGTCGGCAGGAAAACCGCTAGTTCCTATGTGGGGAGCAACACACACTTCCCCATTGTGATTTTAATGGACAATATGAATGAATTTTGTGGAAGTGTGTGTTGTTCCCTACATGCTAGCTTGCGGTTTCCCTACCAACTTGAATTCTCACTTGACCTCTTCTTTGCAATAATAATTATGATTTGTATAGGCATAATAATGTGTTACATTTCTAGTAATTCAGTGAATGGGATTAGTGAGTGAGGAAGAATTGGGTGGGCAGAGCCTAGGGGTTAATGACTACTTACGTGTACGGGCAGGGGTGGTCGCTACACGAGCATACAGAGTTGTGCAACAACATGGATATCTGGGATTTGAAGAGAGTACGAGAAGGGATTTCTCGAAGCTAGGTGGGCAAGCAATTAAAGTAATGAAGGGCCTTCTACAGGGGAGAATGGAGACAGCGATCAGTCCTCGGAGTTGGCAATAGCCAAGTACGAGAGAGACGTAAATTATACGAAGGTTGCACGTTGCTAGCAGTATGTTGTTGTTGTTGTTTGATATCTTTTATTCTCAGGATGGCCTGTGGCCAATAAGAGAAACATAATTACAGGCACGGGGATCAGATACAGAGAGAGATCAAAGTTTAGCTGCTTGCTGAGGCAGTAGCGATGGCAATAGGGAGTTTATCACGTAGGCTGGGCGCAATGCAGCTATAGATGTGCTGAGCAATATGAGCAAGTACATACGGAAGAGATGACAAGTGGTAGGATGTTTGCTTTGAAATCTCGTCTGGGGTTGATTTGCTGGAGGCTGAGTGGAATGCTATTAAAGAGATCAAGAGAAGAATAGATGGGGGAGTCTCTTAGCCAGTGTGTACGTGTTGTGAGTAGCTCAAAGGTTCGGGGGAACCTGAGCGTGCGAATGGGTTGTATCCGGGGTAGGTGAATTGCAAGAAGGTGTGGTGGTTCATATCTATGATTCAGGCTATGTGCAAGAAGGATATGGTAGAGGGTACGGCGGCTGCTGAGTGATGGCCATTTGAGTCGGTACAGCAGCACGGAGTGGATTCTGTGTTCAAAGAGAGGGAGATGCAAACAGAGGCGAGCGGCGTGTTGTTGTTTCAAATCTTTATTCTCACTTGTTGTTGTTGTTGTTTGAAATCTTTTATTCTCACGATGGCCTGTGGCCAATAAGAGAAAAATAATTACCGGCACGGGGATCAGATATAGATAGATCAACGTTTAGCTGCTTGCTGAGGCAGTAGCGATGGCAATACTAATTGGGAGTTTATCACGTAGGCTGGACGCAATGGAGCTATAGGTGTGCTGAGCAATGTGAGGAGGTACATACGGAAGAGATGACAAGTGGTATGATGTTTGCTTTGAAATCTCTTCTGGGGTTGATTTGCTTGTTGTTGATGTTGTTGTTTCAAATCTTTATTCTCACGATAGCCAGTGGCCAATAAGAGATAATAGTGTAAGAAAGGAGAAAGAGTGAGGAAGAATTGGGTGGGCAGGGCCTAGGGGTTAATGACTACTTAAGTGTATGAGTAGGGGTGGTCGCCACACGAGCATACAGACTTGTGTACTTAAGTGTACGGGCAGGGGTGGTCGCTACACAAGCATACAGAGTTGTGCAACAGCAGGGATATCTCAGAATTGAAGGGAGTACGAGAAGGGATTTCGCGAAGCTGGGTGGGCAGGCAATTAAAGTAATGAAGGGCCTTATACAGGGTAGAATGGAGACAGCGTTCAGTCCGCGGAGTTTGCAAGTGCCAAGTACGAGAGCGACGTAAATTATACGAAGGTTGCACGTTGCTAGCATTATGCAGCGAGAGTATATGTGGTGGGGCATAATTGTGGCGCAGAGAATGCGCGAAGAGTATAAGTTTAACTTTAACCCTTTGCCGGTCTAACTCAATGTATGTGAGGGGTGGTCACGCAAATACATGTACACACAACCAGCAATAACTCAAGAACCATGTGATGTAGGTATGGTTAAACCATATATTTTCAAAATCTGTGTGCCTGAACGTGTCCAGAAAATTCAAATATGACTAGGTCCAGGCAAGGATAGGGCCCATGGTAGCCCTTCAAGTTGAGAGAAAATACAATTGCGAAAGAAATACACGAATATCACAGCACGAAGGGTATACCAAGTTTGTGATGGAGCTGAAGTCGTACGATAAACAATCAGGTAAGGGCTACGTCTTTACAAGAAATGTAGGTTCTCTACAATACCGCCATTGAACACCAACACCTCGCCATCGGCGATACGGCAGCAGCAGCAATTCCCATTGCACGATATCGCAGTTTCGGTTTGTTCATCTCATCGCTGCTCGCGTCAGATTCACTCTCGCTCAGATGAGTACTCAGGCGCGAGCTTACACATGACGTGATTCTCACGGCCAGGCGAATCAGCTGATCGCACCTGACGAGTCCTTGTGAGAGTCGCTGTCGCCGTGTCGGCAGCAAGAAGGCTTCCTCTCTGTTTGGAGAATTTTGTTTGTTCATTCGTTGACGAAATATTTTTGAACTAGCAGGACTCAACGGAGCTCTTTTTCTCAACACACTACACTGCAAAACCTCCCGGGACATCCAGCCTGGACTGGTGATGTTACTGATCTCAGAGCGCTTGTCAAACACGGTCCCAAGAGATGCACTCGCATTCTTGAAATGCGCGCATGGCGGATGGTCGTCTTTTCCAATTTCAACAAACTTCAGTCGATCGATACGGCAACAATTTGTATGGTAAGCATGGTTGTTTTGCACATCGTCAGAAAGCCTTGGACCTCAGCTACGCGTAGAGCGCCATTTTAGCTGTCTCCTAGCAACAAGACCCAAAAAAATTAGCGCCAAACGTACCGATAATATAGTATCGGTACGCTTATGGTAGACCGGTAAAGCGTGAAAATATTGTTGGCCATTTGATGCGATGCAAAAGGTGGGAGTGTTCTACGTGTGTGTAAAGGGGAAGGTGGAGACATATTCTGGCGGCTTTCTGCTGGAGTTGTTCTAGCCTGTCAAGGGAAGTGTGGGACAACGGTGTGAGAGCATTGCTCGAATATGAGAATATAGGTAGTATGTATGTCTGATAGATGTGAGATAAAGACACACTTGTGAGTGTAGACCTTAGTCTAAAAAGAATATTGAAAGACTTGAGTGATTATTTGACTATGTATTCAACATGCTTCGCCCAACGGAAGTCATGCTGAAAGATTATTCCAAGGTGTTTGTGTTTTTGTGCTACGGTAAGCCGACTATTCCTGAGGGTGATCTGGGGTAGCTGTTCAGGGGGCCGGTTATTGTGGTAGAACGGGAGGGTGACTGTTTTCTTTGTGTTAACCAGCAGGTGCCATCTTTGAAGCCCGTCTCCAGCTGCTGTGACACTATGTTGTAGGTTTCGGGTGCAGTCTTGAATGGTTCTCGCTATAGAAACCAGAGCGGTGTCATCTGCAAATTGGCTACAGGTGGTGCCGGGATTCTCACATGCGTGTGGAAGGTCTATGGTGTAGACGAGGAATAGAAGCGGCCCAAGAACAGATCCCTGAGGGTCGCCGGCAGGGATTTCGAGTAAAGGCGATAGGTCGCCATCCACCTGGGCCCTTTGCCGACGCCCCAACAGGTACCGTCGGAACCACTCCAGGGCGTTGCCCTGGACACCATAGTGGGAGAGTTTTGCTAGAATGCCTGCATGCCACACACGATCGAAGGCCTTGCTTAGATAATAAGCAGGCATTGACGTGTTTCCCGTCGTCTCTCGCAGCGAAGAGGGTATGGACGAGACGGGCGAGCTGCTGCCCAGTGCCGTCTTTCTCACGGAATTCGGACTGCTGGTTGGGCAGGTGGGTGTGATGTGCTTGTAGAGCAGTTTAGCAATTTTTTCTTGGATTTTTGATGTAGTGCTCAAGAGAGAGATGGGTCTATAAGTTGTCGGTTGGGTTGGGTCACTGGGCTTGGGTACTGGAGTGATGGTGGCATCTTTCCACTCCCGTGGGATTTTTCTGGTTTGGAACGATAGATTAAAGACGGACGAAAACGACTGTGCAAGTTCCTTAGCCGCTTCTTTGAGTAGGCGGTTTGGAATAGAGTCGAACCCGGGGCTTTTATTGGTATCAACTTCGCGAAGGAGTTTTTCGACCTCAGCTTGGGAAGTCGAGATTTCTTGAAGGTGACTGAAGATGTCAGGGGTGGTGTTGATGGCTGGAGTTTGCTCATCCGCATTGGCCACGGACAGCTTGCTCTGTGAAATGAAGAATTCGTTGAGGGCAGCGGCTTTTTGTGCTGGTGTCGTTGCAGGAGTTGCTTGGCTGACGAGTTCGGGTATGCATTGTTTTGTAGCTGTAGTTAGGTGCTTCATGAGGCGGTGTAGGGAAGTAGAGGAGGCTGTTGTGTTGTTTACGAAGTCCGATTTTGCACGACGCAGGAGGGTGGTGACACGGTTTCTTTGGGCAGTGAACGTGTTCCAGTCGTCGGGCGAGCGTGAGTGGAGGTATATTCTGTGTTTTCTGTGCTTAACCTTGATCTCTTTCAAGAGACCCTTTGATATCCATGGTCGTGCTGGCACGTTCTTCCTGTCCCAAGGGGGGGGGGGGGTGAGTGCGAGAAACTTGGCAGTGTTCTTGGGCGATGTTCAGGACTTTGTCGTGCCAGGATCGCCAGAAGGTGTCAACTGAGCATGGGTCGTGTTGGTTTGGATGGTGGTTGAGATTTGTGCTGAAAGGGCTTCTCGAAGAAGGTGGATAATGCTGTCTGTCCATGACCAGAATGTGGTGCTTCTGGATCGTGGAGGGGAGTTGTTAATTATGGGGGGCAGTTAATTATTGATGTGGCCATTGATAGTAGTGTGATCGGACGCGCCAAACGGTGGAAGTGACTGGATATGAACATCATTGCTGTGGAGTGAGGAGATAACAAGGTCTAGACATGAGAGAGGTGTTTGTCGGTGGATGTAAGTAGGGAATCTGACATGTT